ATACTGTCGAAAGTCGTGATCATCCCGATCATAAGAATATCTCTCCTGAGGAAGCTTCCCCCGAGGGCTTATCATATTTTGTTATTCATCATTTCATTTCTCTTTGCTCATTTATCCCTAAAAGTTGTATTTGATCTATCAAATCCAGTCCAATTCACAGTCGTCTCAAAAACCATTTTAAATTAATACAGATTGCTTAGAAGCGATATCAAAGTCTATATTTAAAGCATGATCATTATTTCCATAAGATTGCAATGAATTATAATGAATAAGACTTGGTCAAAGGCCATGCTGTTTGATTATTAAAAGTTTGGCCGCGGCCTTGGATATGCAACTCTGGTTGCAGCAACATAACTGACTACCATTTAACTTGTCGCTTGTACTATGGAAATTGTTAATCACACTTGCGTTTACAATCTGGATTTTATAGGATACGTTTTGTGTGTGTCTCCGGAGTAAGAATCATTTCACTGAAATCATGATACACAGTCAGTGCATTTTTAATTTTTTATTTTTTCAATTAATAAGGTGTATTAATAAAGATTCCTTAGTCGATCGCGATTTAGACTGCGGCAGTTTAAATAGATCTTAAGTTTATTACACCGATGGACGTAGTGCTTATGCATTGAATCAGCGTGTGTAGTGGTGCAACCAATATTTAATTAATAAGGGAGTTGGAAGAACCAGCGGGTGACCGTTAAACGTTCTAATATTTAATCAACACTGAGCGGAGAACAAACAAAAAAGTAATAAAGATGTTTCACTCTATGCGCTGGTGGCCGGGGAAATTTCAACAAAGCCCGACTAACAACAATGTACGTCACGGTCACCTTCATTATTTCATCCAGCTAAAAGACGAAAACAAAAATACTTTAATACCAATTTTGACTGGAGATGCATTAGAATTTTTTTTGATGAATAAGTATTGCCCCACAACTGATCGTAGTACATCCCACGATAAGATTTCGCTCGATAGACCATGTCTAGAACCATTAGTAAACCATTAGTTCTAAACTAGCTGTCATAAAAAACCTTGCTTGAAAAACTGAATAACTTTAAGACCATTGTTATTTTGCAAGGTTAAGCAGCGATAAATGTGTTGATATATAGCAAACATTATCAGTATGATGTGCCGTAACACGTATATAACAGGAGTACTTTTCTATTGATGATGATATCTTGCTCATAGTGGGTGACGAAGATCTAGAGAAGGGGGTGGTTAAACCACGTACAGTGAAGAATCACTGCACATTAAACGGTTTCTGCTAATGAAAATGTATCATATCGCAATATACTGATTTCTTCATAGAAATTCATTTTCACATGAAAATAAGTAAATCGCCGCAAGTCAAAAACGGCTATTTTGTTTATAAGTTCTGGGCTTTGACAGAGAAGGACAGGCCTGCTTTAGATGACAGCCGGATTCGGTTGTATTTGTATGGGGATTGCTACCAGTAAATAACACAGTTTTCACATGAAGTACCATTGAAACACGATGGTCGAGAGATGACTCATAAGCTGAGGTCAGTATAACAAGCAGCATGGTGGCCAATAAGCTATTTAATCTATCATGTAGCCTCTCTCCAACCGCGGTGATGAAGGCTTAAACCAAATGTTTTGGTTTCTCACTTCTTTGTTTAAGCACATTCCCCCCCCCCTCTTTTTTCAGGACTCTACAGCTGATGAAGGTCACTTGTTGACCGAAAAGCGCTTTCTGCAACCAGTCCAACCCCCCTTTTTTTTCATTTCCCCACCCGCACTGTGTGTATCTCGTACAGTCGGCCCTTCAGGTCAAATAAATACAGAGGCGAGAGACCTCTCTCACATCATACTGAAGTGAAACAACAGCCGATAATATTGAATACGGCAATAAATAGTTATCTAACATAATTCGAATCAGAATTATAAGACGGACACGTTCTATCACCGTTGTCATCTCTTCACAAACACGTGATTACGCATCTTAGGGACTTTTATACTTCAATCTAAACTCTAACGTCCCAAAAACAATCTCAAAGCTTTTAACCAGGGGCGCTGTCAAAACACACGTCCCCAGGGGCCCAGTCCTGGATCGTGTTATTTTGATAAGAGTTAGTTTAACTAAGACATGAGCCGACCACCCCTAAACAACGAATATTAAATCGCAACTGCAAAGGGGAGGATGTGGTGTGGTGTGAAGATAGCCACAGAGACAGAGTACAAAGTATATGTACAGGAAAAACGAGAGGATGAAGACAGTAAGTGGTTTTATTCCTTTTGTTATTTTCATAATATTCATTTATTTTTATTTTTAATAATTGATTATCAATGTGTTGATAAATTACCAAGTCTTTGATTTTATTACATTCTCCATGTCTGTTGTAATGGTAGGCTACATGCATTCTTGTAATTCTCAATCCTGATACTTTCTCTGAATTTTTTTAGTCAGACATGCTGTTCCCTTTACCCAGTTATGTTTAATACGTTATTACACATTATATTTTGATATCATTTCGTTATATCTTCACAGAAACCGCACTGGAAAAAGGAAAGGGCGATGGCAGCACTGAACAAGGGGAAGTCATTGAAAGGGGCAATGGCAGAAATATCTGACGCGGGGGTGTGCCAGGCTAAAGAAGTGCTCAAATTGATGTGTGGAAAATAAATTACACGCAAGG